GAACTCTGTCACATAAGATGTGGTTGATGATAAGGAACACATATTTGAAGTTGAAACCTTAAGAAATGAAAAAGTTATAGTGAAAAATATTTTACTGCACCAAAACTTTAATCTGGACGCCGACGCCGGGGCGAGTAGGACAGCTCTTATATAGTATAGTCGAGCTAAAAACCGTATGTTAAAACCTCATCAGACGAAGTAAGTGCATAATTCTCTGTGCGAATGAATCATTTGCTATAAAAGCAAAAGTATTACACAGAGTATAACAGCACTAATCCATATAATTATGTAGTGAATTTAATGACCCTTTGTACTGTTAAACGTACACTCTCGGAGCCACTTTGGACCGGATAAGGAAATAAACATAAAAAAGTTGATAATATAGAAATACAAAACTATCCATTAATCGCACAGTATCTAAATTCCCATCGTCCTTATTTATATCAAATGTAGACCTTACCTTTTTTCAGATGTTATTCATTGTTTGTGCTACTCGGAAATTTCAACGATATAACTAATATGTAGTGTAATAGACAGAGCTTATAAGACAGTTAATAATTTTAGCTATTATATAGCCTAAAAGAGAAAAATATTCATAGTATGTGTTAAGATGAAATGCTTTATCATACATCAGAAAAAGAAATTAGAATATGATGGCATGATGTTGCATACCATAACATACCTTAGCTATCTTTATGTTAATCATTACATGTTCAAAAACATTTTATTAATAGAAATTTTTAAGAAATTTGTTAAGACAAACAATGTTACATATTCTGAATAGAGATAAATATTCTTAGCATAATCTCTTTTAACAATATTCAATAAGCAGACTTTAGTAAATACATAATAAATATTGATTTTAACGAGCAATTTTAAAAACTCGTAGAAGAACATAAATATTCTTTACATTTTTATAAAATAAGTCAGTTCAGATAATGTGGGACTCCAAGACACAAGGGTATACGATGGAATGCAAATGTAGATATTTTAAAAATAGAATCATTAAATACCCAACAAGAAAACTTATTGTTTAACTGTCTATTTAAAAACTTATATTATCTGTGCGAACCGTTTAAGGCTTACAAATTGTTGTGTTCGGTGCAGTATGACCAGCAATGTGTCGGTGTTGCCGCTTCATCCAAAGAAACAAACAAAATGTAACAGGAAATTAAATCGTAGCATCAAAATATAAAAACGCACATCAATCATAATTGACATGATAAATGCTCTTATATTTCTCGCTCGTATTTTGTCTCCTCTCTCATGGACAGAATCAGCCATACAAACTAGATTACCAACCCTTATAACACAAACACACTAAACATTTCTTCGCTCAATACTCGGTTTGAACTTATTCAATCAAGGTAGTTTGTAACCTAATTAGGAAACCATTATCTACCCATTATTAGACACCTTAGTATAACGACATGAGCTACATAAACTAAAGAAAACGGAATCCCTAAAGAACGCCTAAAACGATAAAATTACAAATGCTGCAGGCTCGGTTTGATTAAAGTTACATTAAATAAATATGTAAAAATATTTTTCCGTCGGCCTAAAAATCAAACATTCTACAGTTTCATTAACCTGTTTTAAGGTTTTGTTGTAAATCTCATCAAAAAATGTTCATACATTAGGATTTTAAACGGGAAACCCCACGGTAACACTAAAGTTCGTATACGAATTTTAACATGCAAATGAAGACTATAATGAGCTCGTGTATGCGCTACGTCACAGTTTTATAGTTGCTATCCGGAACACAGCAAATGTAATATTTTCTTGTGCAAACACACTTTAACCGTTAAAGTTTCACGGTGCACTAAACCTGGGGTTCAGTAAAAGTAATCATCTCGTAAAATGATTAAATTGGTATGAAAACATCCGTTACAATGCGGAAATATACCGTTAAATTAGGACTGCCACTTATAGTCATGTTTGTTGATTTAATATTGATGAACGGATGATCCGAAGGCGGAGTTTCTTATGCAAACAGAAATTGTACTTCCCATTTCGCCAAAATGAGGTTACCTATTTTTATGCTAATAAAACTCATTTTGGTTGTTTGGACACCAAAATAAAACCTGGAGTCGATATAAAACCCAATTTATTAATGAATGTCGCTATTTAGTTTTTTATGAAATTTATTAAATGTAACTTTAAGTCTGTTCATGGACGATAGTAGATTAGACATTGCCTATCAATCAAAGTGCCTTTTCGAAACTATTAACTCCTTATAATAAAATTTTATATTACAAAACAGAAGCCTGAAGATGCATCAAGTTGCCGGCAATGGGATATTAAATTACTAAGATAACATTGATTTGAATGTGACAATAATTGTCCTAATCTGCATTTTGCATTACTGACAGCATAATAAATCCATTTATCTACATATTCTGAAAACATTACTTGAATTTTCTATTTATAAATTACAACTAAATGGAACCTTTCAGTGATTTGGCTCTAATTTTTATGGAATTGGACAAGTTATGGACTATGATTGTAAACCAAACGGATCTGAAAGTATAATGTTTTCACTAATGGAAATATTCAACATTTGGAGTCCTAATATGGAAGAAAGCAGGAAATCAAATATATAACGCAAAAAAGTGAATTGATACGCATTCTTCTTGTTTCGTTATGTCTTACCGGAAAGTGCGGCAATGGCGTCAGGCAGAAAAGTCACACGTTGTTTGTAAACCATTAGCAGCCAAAACTGCAATCGTGGTCTACATCTTCGCCGTATGCAATCAGCTTTCTAATAACCTGTATAGATATTATTCGTCCGCTGATATCCAAGAGCGCTATCAAGATCACGTATGTTATTGACGTCATTACGATCTATATATCCCATAAGCTGGTCACTATAGAACGTAAACATTGTTTTGGCGTAAAACGTCCCGAGTGTAACGTGCGGTGCGCGAGCGGGCATTATCATGTTGGAAAATTCTTACGTTACGTTGTTGCATGAACTTTGAATTATTTTGTCACAGTAATTTTGTGCGGTAAGATCGTGACTGTAACAAGATCAGTCTTCCAATCATTGTATATGCCAGCTCAAACTATGACAGTGCCACCACTGTAACGGTCACGTTAAATGACGTAATCAATATCGCGTACCCTGCCGTTAGCAGATGAAAAGTTGAACCAAAAATGTGTTTCTTTTGATGAAAACATACCGAATTTGTTCTGAAAAAAAGTGAGGCAGCAGATTTTGGCTCTGTTTTTTTTCTCTTTATTCAAAGGGTCCACATACGTTGTTTTTCTGAACTCAATTATGGTAAATCCATGTTCATTTCAATCTTTGAAAAATGTTCTGAAATCTATTTTAAAAATAGTACAAAAGAATAAATTACCGTCGGATGTGACAGTTTACCATGCAATTTATGTTTGCGAGACATTTTTTACACGGCAAATGCTTTTTTCCACATGGTAATATTCATCATTTTGACAATCTTTAAGATTGTAGAAAAAATAAATATGTTTTATTAATACCTAGTTTGGGTCATATAGAAATAAATTTGTCAAATTTAATTTTTAAATAATTGTAGGATGAAAGCATTAGCTATAATGTTAGGCTGGCGCTTTTTAAAAAGCATTATTTGCATGTCAGTCATCTGCATGTCAGTCAAGCATTTACCACCATAATACAAATATTTCATACGGCACAGCAAAATACTTATTTAAACCTTACAAGTAATATAAATAAACATCAACAATAGTGTATCGACGATTTATTGAAGTGGATAAAAAAAACCCAGTCGGTGAAAATTATAAATTTATGTTTATTTACATATGTATTTGGTATAAAGACGTACGGAGAGGCATTTTGATATATTATTTTGTGCGTCAATATGTTATGGATGAAACATGACAGGATATATGGAGTTAAATTACAGGTTTGACACAATTTTAAAACAAGAGCTGTTTGAAGACAACGCGCTCGACCATTCAGTGTTTGACAATATAAAATAATTTCCATCCTGAAGGTTATTTTTTAAGTGTGGTTAATGACATGAACTTATACATAGAAAAAGAAACAAGAGGGCCATGATGGCCCTGAATCGCTCACCAGATACAACTGTTTTTCAGTGTTGGAAATTATCCATTGTCAATCTTTTTTAATATTACATTTGAGCATAGAATATGTTTAAACAATAATTTGAAGAAATGCCATGACCTGGTGCATTTAAGCTTTAGCTTAAACGGGGCCAATCAAATTAATATGAGCAAACTTGATAAAAGACTACCTAAGAATGCTACAAAGTTTGGTGATCATCTATCAATTATTTCAGAAGGAAATGATGTTCAAAGGTGTTTTTTTCTATTTTAGCTTTTGTGGCCCCTAAAAAGGGCTAATCAAATTAATATGATCGAACTTGATAAAAGACTACCTTAGAATGCTACAGACAAAGTTTGGTAATAATCTATCAATTAGTTCTGTAGGAAAAGATGTTTAAAGGTATTTCTATTTTTAGCTTTAGCGGCCCCTTAAAGGCGTCAATCAAATAAATATGAGCAAACTTGATAAAAGACTGCCAAAATGCGATAGACAAAGTTTGGTGATCATCCATCAATTAGTTCTGTAGAAATAGACGTTTAAAGGTATTTCTATTTTTAGCTTTAGCGGCCCCTAAAAGGGGCTAATTGAATTAATATGAGCAAACTTGATAACAGACTTCCCAAGAATGCTACAGACAAAGTTTGGTGATCATCCATCAATTAATTCTGTGGAAGATGTGTAAAGGTATTTCTATTTTTAGCTATGCTATAGAGATCCCTAAAAGCGGCCAATCAAATTAATATGAGCAAACTTGATAACAGACAACCTACGAATGCTACAGACAAAAGTTTGGTGCCCCATGTTCTACTTAGAATATATGTTAAAAGACGAGAACAAAGATCAATAGGGCAAAGTCAACGTTCACAGACTGGGGCATAATTCTGTCAAAATGCTTGATACAGTAACCTCTTTTTGTGTACAGCTTTGGAGCACGATGGTTAGGAAGTGTGCAAAGTTTCAAATCCAGATGTCCATAGACTTTGAAAGTATTAAAGGTGGTACGCAAGCTATAACGTAAGTAGTTACGCGGAAGATCTTTCCCTATTTGAATAGTCGAGCTAAAAATGCACCCGAAATTTCTCCACTTAAGACACCTTGCCGCTACGGCTTGGTAAATTGAGGCACTTCCTTTTCTCTTTTCTCGTGGCGTGTTGTTTACAGTCTAATTGGTTTCATATTGGTGAAATACAACGGAGAAAATATTTGACCTTGGCAAAGAAATTACAGTTTTTTTCGGACATTGACCATACAGTATATCGACTAAACACTTCAATGACATTTCGCTGCCAATGTATCATTAAGATTTACGTTGATTGGTCTGCTCTGACGTTGATTGGTCTGCTCTGGTGGCATCTTTCTAAATGATGAAATGTGCTTCGATGGCTCTAAGACTACAAGTACAAATTGTTGCTGCAATGCAGCAATGAGAAGCTCCGCGCAAAAAAAAAATGCGCTCATTTACAGATACCTTACCAAATTATTCCTACGCACAGGTCATGTTATATATCAGATTAAGACTTTTAAGTACTATTGTAGATTTTTCCGAATGTTTTGTAAAAATTTTTTTGCATAATTATACTTATCTTATGCACTGTCCATAATTAAAAAGAGGGAAAAGATATTTAAAATAAAAAAAATGCTTTCACTGATGCCTACCTGGTAAGGAAAGTAATTCCATTGAATGCAAACAAGACTTACAAGACTTGTAAATGTTATGTGACATGACTGTACTATGTTCTGTTTGTGTCACTCCTGTAGTCAGTAACATAAGATGATAAAAATATCAAAGTCTGTTGTTTTTTTTTTATTATTATAATTGTAACAAATATACAAATAGTAAACAAAAGAGACTAATATTATAATATACTAATATAACATGCATTTTTTTTCATGTCAAATTAAAAAAATGGTTTCTTTTCAATACTGAAAGTAGAAACACACTCTGGAATGAAAAAAATAATGGGATGATTTTCAAAAAGACCAAATTCAGGAATGTTTTGTTTGTTATACACGCGTTACATGGTGATACAGTATTTATTAATATTATAGAAGACTGTTACAGGTATGAGAAAATTCACTAACATCATGTTCGTGCGAGTCAAAGATATAGAAGCTATTTGACATTGGTGATATATATAAAAAAGATCTTTTGTTAATTGATTTATTTAGAGATCAATATACTTTATTGTTGAATTGCTTTAAAAACCGTTCATAAAAAGCATTACATTTCATGTTCAAAATGCAGATCAAATCAATGATGCTATCTATCTATAGCCTATAGCTTAATGAGGATCAATCGCTCGTAAGGCCACAAAATACAGGTTTTCGCTGTGGCATACCCTTCGCAGGATGAGCTATTTTTTATGAACGCGCACAGTCACGGACAGGTCGCGTCACGACAAAAATGCCTCGAACGAAAATTAAATACTTTATCGATTTCGAAAGAAAATACTTCAAAAAGCTCACCAAAATTAGTGTTGGAGAACCCATAAGTTTATGAATGCATCAATGACAGATTAGAACAACAACTCTGGTCTTCGGTTGCTAAAGAGATGTTATTTCAAAAACCTAACTGGTATTCGATCTTTTTCCTTTAACCTAATTCTTTGATGTTACAAACTGGTTTTGATATTTTGAATGAAAATTAAATTCATTTCTTACAATTAATTATTTCTCTGTTCGCTATACTATAAGATAATAACTTACATATGGAATAATACTCGACCGCGGGGTCTCGTACATTGGAATAGCGGCCTAATGCACAAAGTGGTGTGCCTGTATCACTGTCGCCAATGAAATGTTACTTTATATACTAAAGTTTAATTATTTCAAAACAACCAATATATCAACATGTTATTATCAAACATTTAATTTCATAAATATAAATTAAGAATAATTATCAAAAGCAAATTATTAAAGTTTTATTCATGAAATCTCTTTATATTGACAAATTCAATCATTAATAGTATACTTTGATATGCTGTGTGTAAATTAATTCAAAATGTAACAAATTATAATTTCATGTACTACTAAAAAAAGGGAAAATAACAAATGTATAACCTAAATGTCAAAATCAGAACATTTAGAGCTATTTATAGCTTATCGAATTCATGTACAGCAGAACTGCTTACCTGTTCTGATTCATTAATATGACATGTTGCGAATCACCGAAGGGGAAACCAATATAGAAATCGAAAGGAGTTCTTGAATGCGGATTTACTTTTAGCGGTAAATCGAAAGGATTAAATGATCAAATCCGGGCCCATGGACAAAAAAAAAAGTAAACACAAATAGCTCCGCGCCTGTGGGCGCGGAGCAATAAAACAAATTATAATTTTATAATTGACATCTATGTAGTATTTTAAAGTTAAGAACTTTTTCTTTTGCTGCTATTTTTTTAATGACAAATGCTAAATGTTAAATATATAAATATAAAGTCGCTTTTTTTCATTTTGTTTTTGCCTAGTAAAACAGAAAGGAAAAAAAGAAAATCATCCTAATTTACACATGTTATATGGGCGGAACTAAATCATTTTTTTAAAAATCAGAAATTTTTTTAAAAAGCAAAAGGAAAGAAAATCTAAAAAACAAATTCCCCGGAAGCATTATCACAAAAAAATTACGTAAAATTTTCAGCCCCGGTTTGTTTGGTGCAACACCCCCTCCGCCCCCTACCCCGGTTACGTACTCTTTTCTAAAATTAATAGCTGTCATCAATGCCCCCCAATGACCTAAAAAATATAACAACCAAAAAGGGAAGTAACGGAAAACAAAACAAAGACCCTTTTTATATCTTTTCTAGAGTTTTTCCCGGACAACGTTTAAAGTGTAAAAATGAACAAAGGCTTAGGGCAAAAACTCCAAAATTAGGCACGGCAGAGATATGGTTCTTGTGCAATTCAAATTTACCTATTGAGATCTATCTACCTACAATGTTTCATGTTGATATCTCTTACAGTTTCAGAGTAATGTCCCGGACAAGAAAGTGGACGGACGGACAAAGCGGCGACTATATGTTCATCCTTTGGAAGTATTTTGATTAAGGCAGTATACCGCCTCTAGCAGTTCACGTATTGGGATCATTAAAGATACATCGCAATTGTTTATCATGAATAACAGGTAGTGATTCCGTCGAATCTAAATCAAATGTAAGTCCGAAATGGTTCCTTACAAAGTATTTCAGTAGTCTTAAATGATACCCATACTTGCATATTTGTAAAACGAATTGTAGCATTATACTCTGTGGAATAAGTATGCTCTTTATTGGATCATAATAATTCAATACAAAGATCTACATTATTATAAAAAGATAAACATTCACATATGTAATACACCGAGACCCAAAACTAACTTGGTTTTACGGCGCACCAACATAGTTCAGGTCATATAGCTCTGAAACAGAGACGATTTTGACCCGTTTGTTTTCTTTGAGTTCCTTGTCAGTAACGAGTTTTTTGTCAGTAACAAATTATTTCATTTAGTGATTGGGCCCGCCCCCTCTCTGCCTTTGGGCCCTGTCCGTTTTTTTTGAGGGCCCCCTGGCTCCCTTGCCACTTTCTTGTTGCTAGTTTTTTGGGTTGTGGGGGGATTGAAAGCCACCTTTCCTTTTGATCTTTTTATTATATTTTGACCAGCCTCGGGCCTCGGGTGTTACAAATTTCAAAGCAACGCCCCAATTATTTGAAACCAATTAGTGAGATGCTCACATCTTAAAAGCTATCAAACATTACTGTAAGCCGATATTTCCGACTTTCAGGAGACGATACTCCGCTCTGAATACAATGTAATAAAACAATCACATTTAAGCATTTCAAATGTTACGATCTTGTACAGTTTGTAACAGAACATTTGCCTGAGTTTCAACAATTACTGAAAGAAAATAAACTTTTAACTTAGTAATACATATGTAACTAACTTATTTTATAAACTTGTAATATAGAATAGAAAGGCCTTCTGATTTTGTTTGGTGTTATATTGACCAGTAATTTGACAGTACGCCGCAAAGCCGTAGTAAAGAAAAGAAAACCAATAGTTTTGACAAAAGCAAGATGTTTACAAGTTTAAACATGACTTTGACATTAAAATGATGTTAATGTCAAGATCAAGTCATTGATTTTTGCTAAAAAGACCGCCTCCGTGGTCGAGGGGTTAAGAGTCGATGACTTCTATCTTGGGTGGGTTCGATCCCTGGGAGATGCTTTGGTAGTTTAACGCAGACTTATGTTATTGATTCTGAACAGGAGGGATAATAAACAAAGTTGAAATTCCCTCATGCCACCTAGCACCGACTTGAGCTAAAAACCAAATTTGTTGTATAATTTAAATTCTACATAAATGAGACTACCTATTTGCCAAACCATAGAGAGAAATAGAATCCCTACAGAAAGAAAAATCTGGACAAAATGTGATTCAGAAGTGAAAGTCCAAAACGCAAAAATTGAAAATGTTGCAGACTCGGTAGACAAGTCAATGATTTATTCAGTAAATAAAGGCCATCGGCCCAAAATTCATATCAAACAAAATGTAATGTTTAACATCTTTAAGTTGTACCGTAAGTCATGACAAATTTTTATTAGTCCCCTACCGGTTTAACCGGAGGGGACTTTAGGTTTACCCTCTGTCCGTCTGTCTGTCGTCCGTCTGTCTGTCTGTCAGTCCGTCCGTCCACAAAACTGGATCCCGCGATAACGCAAAAAGTACTGAAAATATTTTTATGAAACTTGATATATGGATAGATGGCAGTATGGAGATTATGCACATCTTTTTCTTTTCTTCCTATGTTGAAAATTCTGGTTGCTATGGCAACAAATAGTCTGAAAATATGGCAAATTTAACACATAAACTGGATCCAGTGATAACTCAAAAAGTACTGAAAATATTTTTATGAAACATAAAATATAGGTAGTTGGCAGTCTGCAGATTATGCACATCTTTTTCTTTTCTTCCTATGTTGAAAATTCTGGTTGCTATGGCAACAAATAGCCTGGATTTCAAGATTTCTGATATAATTTTTT